TGTATCTACCTTACCATCATAATTCAATCTCAGTGTCACTACCTGTGTAATAACCTGTCACACAACCTGTGTAGTACATGCTAATTATATTATTATTACTATCTCTTTAAGACGTTGTAAATATTAAAATTACTTTTTCACTTTTTGGTACTTTATTTTTGTACTCCTATTGCATGCTTTTAGTATTTCTTGTTTGTTTGTTCTTCATTTATTTATTTTTTTAGCGAGTCAAATCAGTTCTTCTCATCCTAAGAATTTCATTGTACTGTTAACCTTGTGTTAACCTTGCATATGGCAAATAAAAACAACTTGAACTTGAACATGGGTTTATTAGATTTGCAAACTGTTGCATTCTGTTTTTGTTGCAATTTACGCAACATTCCAACTTTTCTGGAATTGGGGTTGTAAAATCTTAGTCGTCGTGATTTTGGTGGGCGGACATCCTGCTCCTTAGTACCCAGAGACGGAAGTACTGTCATTCTTTAACCTGAGTAGCACAACCCTAAAGGTCAAGCAGGGTGGAGATAATCAGTGAAGGGATGAAAAGAAGGGAAAGGAGGAAATCAAGTGGGATCCCACATAACAGAGGCTGAGGGAACGTTTGTTGACATGGGGAAACCAAACCTTGCATGCCACCCTGTGAGGGCAGTTCTTTCCAAAGCCCAGAGGAGGTGAGATTGTGCGTACAACTTTGTACATCTCCTTATAGTGGATCCTTCCACTGGAAAGAATACACATGTCTTTGGTTATATTATATTACAGAGTAGTTATGAATGAAGATCTATCTTCAGGTTTATACACAATTTCCAGCAGTTTTAAACATGTGGACCCAGCTGTGATGTAGCACTTCATAAGTTACAGCAGATACTTTATTGTATGCTTTTTAAATGCGGTAGCAACTTCCTGCCCTAGTTAGAAGCACAACTGCTAAACATCACATAATGCAACTAGGGCAACTGATGCTTAACCAACCAGTTTTGGGATAAACTGGGACATGTTATCAATGCTGAAATGTAGTCTGAAAATGGTCTTACTTAAAAAATAGGTAGACTCAATGCAGTATTCATGTTACAAATTAAAATCAGAATCAGAATAAACTTTATTGGCATTGCACCGAGATACAACGCGAATATGTACGTACAGTCGTCCGAAAGATGGGCGAAGTGCACAAAGCTGCGGCTATAAATAGCGTGGCCTTCTTATTCTTATTCGGAATAATATTTTGCTTGGATGAGAAAAGGGAAGGAAACATGAGGAGAGACGGTATAAAAAAAGATCTCTCATGCCGTGTCCTAGACAGTGCACGATGTGAGGCATCAAAAAAACCTACCACAGCAAAGCAACATAAATAGACTTTATACATGTACATATAGGCCAGTGAAGACGTTGAATTTTTAAGGGAAAGTCGTAGCATAGTCCAGAGCCCCCCGTCCCATCCATTGTCCAGATAAGAGGTGTTATTCATCATCAGCTCGGTTGAGGTTCTGTCACATGTCCACAGCCTTGGGGAAGGGAGGAGTGAGGAGACAGTCAAAGCATCTTTGTTGTTTTCAAAACATGCCAGGAGGAGTTGAGATAAGTCCGGCGTCAAGGCCACAGTTTGGGTCAGGCAGAACTCATGAATTGCTGTTTCTGTCTTTTTAAAGTCTCGCTGGTATATATTCCTCTGATGGAACTCCAAAATAGCCAAATTGATCCTTTATGCTAAAAGTCGAGCTCACAGCATTCTTCAAGATTATTCCCTCCGTTCATGGGTGCTGCCAGAAAGTTCACAGTCCTGATAACAGCCTGCTCCAGCTCCCTGCTGCAGCTCCCCAAATTCAGTCTGAGTGCTGTTGAGTTTTGACACATCCACACAAAATTATAGACAATCCAGAAATCACCAGCCAAACAGCAAAAAAAAACCCAGTTGTCATCATGAATCAATAAATTTTGTTGAGAGACCAGCTGATCCTTCGAATTAAGAGGTATGGAGAAAAAAAATAGGCTTTTTAAGGGTTCACAGGACAAAAGAGTGCAAGCAGGGAAGCGGGTGGGTGGGTGGTTGGGGGTGGGGGTGGGGGGGGGGGCAGGGAGACATGTCTGGTTTCACCGGAGGACAGAGAGAGAGAAAAAAATAGCTCTTTAATATAATATATCTGAACAAATTCAAACTTTTATGATTAGTTTTCTTTTCCTATGTCCATCCATCCATCCAACCATTTTCTTCCGCTTATCCGTGGTCGGGTTGCGGGGGTAGCAGCTTAAGTAGGGAGGCTCAGACTTCCCTCTTCCCAGCCACTTGGGCCAGCTCCTCCGGGGGAATCCCGAGGCGTTCCCAGGCCAGCCGAGAAACATAGTCTCTCCAGCATGTCCTGGGTCTTCCTCTGGGCCTCCTCCCGGTGGGACGTGTCCGGAACACCTCACCAGGGAGGCGTCCAGGAGGCATCCTAACCAGATGCCTGAGCCACCTCAACTGGCTCCTCTCCATGTGGAAAAGCAGCGGCTCTACTCTGAGTCCCTCCCGGATGACAGAGCTTCTCACCCTATCTCTAAGGGAGAGCCCAGACACCCTGCAGAGAAAACTCATTTTGGCCGCTTGTATCCGAGATCTCGTTCTTTCGGTCACAACCCAAAGCTCATGACCATAGATGAGGGTAGGAACGTAGATCAATCGGTATATTGAGAGCTTCGCCTTTTGACTCAGCTCTCTCTTCACCATGACAGGCCTGTACAGCACCCGCTTCACTGCAGACGCTGCACCTATCCGCCTATTGATCTCACGCTCCATTTTTCCCTCATTTATGAACAAGACCCCAAGATACTTGAACTCCTCCACTTGGGGCAGGACCTCCTCCCTGACCCGGAGAGGGCACTCTACCCTTTTCCGGCTCAAGACCATGGCCTCGGATTTGGAGAAACTGATCTTCATCCCGGCTGTGTCGCACTCAGCTGCGAACTGTTCCAGCGAAAGCTGTAGATCACGATCTGATGAAGCCAATAGGATCACATCATCTGCAAAAAGCAGAGACGCGATCCTAAGGCCACCAAAACGGATCCCCTCAACACCTTGGCTGCACCTAGAAATTCTGTCCATAAAAGTTAGGAACAGAATCGGTGACAAAGGGCAACCTTGGCAGAGTCCAACTCTCACCGGGAACGAGCCCGACTTACTGCCGGTAATGCGGACCAGGCTCTGACACGTTCATACAGGGACCTAACAGCCCGTATCAAAGGGCCTGGTACCCCATACTCTCAGAGTACCCCCCACAGGGTTCCCAGAGGGACGCGGTCGAACGCCTTCTCCAAGTCCACAAAGCACATGTAGACTTGTTGAGCAAACTCCCACGCACCCTCCAGGACCCTGCTGAGAGTGTAGAGCTGGTCCAGTGTCCCACGACCAGGACAAAAACCGCACTGCTCCTCCTGAATCCGAGGTTTGACTATCCGACGGACCCTCCTCTCCAGAACCCCCAAATAGACCTTACCAGGGAGGCTTAAGAGCGTGATCCCCCTGTAGTTGGAACACACTCTACAGTCCCCCTTTTAGAATAGGGGGACCACCACCCCGGTCTGCCAATCCAGGGGAACTTCCCCCGATGTCCACGCAATATTGCAGAGTCGCGTAAGCCACTAGGGGTGCACCGATTGCAGTTTTCTGGCCGATCACAGATCTCTAAAAAGTCTGACCTGCCTATTCCGATTTTGTCCGATACCGATTTTGTTTTATAAGCGACAGCGTCAGGTGTTATAAGGTCACAATGCACTTTCAATTTTCCAATATTATTTTATTGAAAAACATACCCTTGAACAATATCCTAAAAACAATACAAACTTGTTTTAACTGGCCATGAAGTAGTGCTCTGAAATATAAATGAAGTTCAGACAATTGTTGCTAAAACTAAAACAAATGGGTAAAATCGGTTTCTCATGCAAGTATAGGCTGATTTCCAATTTCCCAAAATTAAGGAAATTGGGGGCGGCCGATTTATCGGTGCACCCCTAGTAATTTAGAATATTTTCCCTCCCAAATTAAGCAACATAGACTGGGACAAGTTAACCATCACTTTATGTAAATCAAATCTGAAAAAAAAAGGGATAGAAATAAAATTGGAACAGGACAAGCTCAAAAAGGAGAGACTTAGCGACTCTACCTGAAACTATTTCAAAGATGGAGCACAAAGTTTTTTTCACTCCCTTCCAGCTAATTAGTTACACAAACACGCACACTTTTTATTCACTGCATCGACTTTTTTCTTTTGAGTAATATGATGCTATACGGCTTAAACGCTTTTGTTTATTCATTGTAGATAGTGCTACTTTAACTGATGCTAAATTATTAGCTTCCTTCTTGTATGTCATTCATGGGTTCATTAAGCCAAGATAAAACAATATAATGATGCAGATGTGTTGTTTAGTCTTTTGGCGAATTTGTATTTTGGTGGATGTGCTTACTACTGTATCTCTTGTGATTTTGGTCCATGTGTTTGGTCCATATATTGTAATTGATTGGTTGGTTTGTCACACCTGGTTTGTTTAGCAATAAATTACCTCATTATGGCTCCAATCCCTGCTTGCTTGCTACCACCTTGTGTACTGTGTTAGAGACCTTTTCTACCACAAAACACAACATGATTAATCAGAGTGATCGTTGCCTCTGGACATGAACAACAGCATCTTGGCAACAGTGCAAATACCAACATAATTCCTTATTTTATACCATCATTTGTTAGCCTGATACTCAGAGGAGCAGATTAATCACAAATATCTCTTCTTTGCACTTGGATCATATAATGTGCACATGACTAAATAATACATGAACATGTTTAATACATGTGATATGGATTTAGAGATTCATCTTCATCTCACCTGATCAGTCGACTCTTGTAGTGTTCAGTTTTTATAATAACTTCTCACAAAGTATTCAAACCCCATGTACCACAAACTGTTGGAGATATAACCACTCTATACTCCCTGCTCACTTTAATGATAAACAGCAAATGTTGCTCATATCAAGAGTGGAAAAATACACACAGGGAGGAGCAGTGTGTACTTAAACTATGCCATACTGCACCGTGTAATAAAGACGTCAATATCAAAATAAATGGGTTATTTTGAACACTAAAGTTCTTACTCATACAGTAAGCCTTTCTGTGCTCAGCTGTATTATATCATATATTTATACTGTGTGTCATCTACCCACACCTAGCAGTAACAAACAATAGCATTTAGGTATTTTTAGTGCCAATCAAATAAAAATTATGTAAATTTTGTGACACCATTTAATGACTACTTTGGGAGGTGTCTGAATGAAAAGCTCTATAGCAAATCTGATTTAAGCAAAGATGATCTGTAATGAAATAAACTAAACTTCTCAGACTGGTTTCTAAAGGAGAACCCAAGGACTAAGTTGCCTTTTGATACAGAAAATGCATAAAGTCTGCTCACTAATTTCAGTTTCAAAGTGCATTAATATTTCTATTAACATCGGTCAAATTAATTTTTGGACGAACCGTTCTCCCACACTGTAATTTTACACCAGTTTGACTACTTATATGATATTTTGACTGGATAGTGCTGCGTCTTTTTATTTAAAACTGACATTTTAGGTACTCAGCAATTTTTAAAAGACAAAATCTACATGACTTTAATTTCAAAGAGAAACTGACCTGGCAGCACGATCATACTCCCCCCAGATCCGGACAAACTCATCCAGGTGATGTGGACCCAGGATGGACGAGTCTCTCGTAAGATATTCAAAGTTATCCATTATCACAGCCACAAACAGGTTCAGCATCTGGATGAAAGAAAATACACAAAGATTTAAACATAAAAGAGAAGGTAACAACTGGTTTAAGGTGTTTTTTGTTGAAGAAGAGTTTGCTGGCGTCTTACTCACCAAAAAGGAGCTGAAAAAGATGAAAGAAACAAAGTAGAAATAGGCAAATTCAGAACCACAGCCCTCCTTCTGGTCAGCTGTCAGTGCTGCTGGGGGAAGAGAGGGGTCCGTTTCACATTGCTGCCCCCCCAGACATGACAACATGATTTCCTGCCAGGATTCCCCTGTAGCGCTCCTGGTTACACAAATCATACAACACAAGTAGGAGTGCTTGGCTTTACTGTCCAGACTGCAGTATGATATCTCTGCCTGAACAGATTTGAGACCAAATGTAAGGCCAGGTTAATAGTGTTGATAATTCATGTTGTTACATTTATTGTTTTTTATACTTTTCTACATTTCTATATAAAATGACCCAAATTAATGAGACTGGGCTAAATGCAGGGAGACAGGTGTCATAATATTATTACAGTCATGCTGGGCTTGTTCTCGGTCTTCACACACAAAGCTTCTCATTTAAGCTAAGTTTGATACTTCCTTTAGCTTGTTCAAACAATCTTCAGTTTTTAGCAGACAAGCAGTAACTTCGTTTTCAACAGTGTTGCTTCTTTTTGCATCCTTGTGCTGTTCTGTGTTCTGGTCGCGGTCTCGTGAACACTAATACTGTCAGTGGTGGTTTCTGATGCGGGCGGTGTAGGCAGCTGCCCAGGTCGGCATCTCATTAATGGCACCACGAGCACCCGCCCCCCGCCCTACCCCTCAAAAAATAAAACACATTATTTTATATAGCGTATCTAGCCTACATACTGGTTTCCTATAACCCTCTTGCAGGGAGTGGGTGCCTCTACCAGGCACAGTGTGTGTAGATTCTGCTGAGGTCTGACACACAGGATGTGAATGAAGGGGAGGGGGCAGGGGATTCTCTCGTCTCCATTGCTGAAACATGGATGCATCTAATTGCTAAGTAAATCACAACATTGATTGCTCCCGAACGAAGCACATTTCATTATTGTGAATAAAGCCTATTGTTCTAATATGGTTAAGTCAGGTCCTCCGGATGGATTCTTCTTTGTTGACAAGTTTTGTCTTTTATCCAAAATACTTTTTCAGTCTGAGACGCTGCAACAAACAGTTTTATAAACAGCATCTTCTCATAGTGGATCAATAAACCAGTTTGCTGGTGACAGACAAAACTAGCTGTTCACATGCAAAAGGACCATCAGCCTAACAATTGATCGGTAGTGCCCTGATGGCCACTTGCTCTTCCCCGCAGACTAAGTGATACTTGCAATAACAGCATTATGAGAGGGGGACAGTTGAACATGGAGGCCTCTGCCCCTGTTTAACGATAAATGAGTTCTCTTCACGGAGATGGCCTCCTTTACTCCTCTCTCAAACCAGTATTCCTCTCTATCAAGGATGTCAACCTCTTCATCCCTGAAAGAGTGATCACTGTCCTGCAGATGAATGTAGACCACAGAGTCCTGGCCTGATGTTGTTGCTCTTCTGTACTGGGTCGTCCTTTTGGCCAGTGGCTGTTTACTGGTAATTTCCCTGATGTATAAGGATCAATTGTTAGGCTGATGGTCCTCCTTATGCATGTGAACAACTACTGTAGTTTGGGCTTTCACCAACAGACTGGTTGATCCACTATGACAAGGTGCTGTTTGCAGCGCCTCAGACTGACAAAGTCTTTTGGATAAAAGACAAAACGTTTCAACAATAAGAATCCATCTAGAGGACCTGACTCAACCATGTTAGAACAACTGGCTATATTCACAATGTTATGAATGAAATGTGCTTTGTTTGGGAGCAATCAATGGTGTGATTTAAACCATCAAATTGTTTTACTCAGTAATTAAACAACAAATTCCATTTTTAGTTTAGTATTAATTTAGTCTTCTTTAAAATGTTTCTTTCTTTGCAGATATATATATATATATATAAACCTTAAAGTTTCAAACACTGCTAAATAATCTGCTGAATCTGTACCCAGCTGGGCTCCTACCTGAACAGCAGCATCAAAGCACCAGAGAAGCTTTTAAAGTTGTTATGCTGGTTGATGTGAGTCTCCTCATTCAGTTTTATGTTCCCAAACACCTGGTTTACACAGAACAATGCAAAATAAAAAAAATTATCAAAATATACAGAAAATTTAATTTGATCATGACATAAAGTAGCTGTTAGTCTGTTTCTCGCCTGCATGCCGATGATGGCATAGATGAAGAAGAGCATAGCAATGAGCAGGCAGACGTAGGGCAGAGCCTTGAAGGACTGAACGAAGGTCCACAGGAGGATGCGGATGGTGTAACCCTGCCTCAGCAGTTTGATCAGACGAGCCGCTCGAAACAGCTTCAAGAAACTCATGTTGAACGTGTCGATACGCTGAGAGGGGTCAGGAGATCAGTTAGCAGAAGTGTGAAAAGATCTGAGCCTAAAGAGGACCAAACTCCATCTTCGTAGGATTACCTGCAGATCTACAACGATCTCAGTGATGCTGCCCAGGACGGTGATAAAGTCAAAGATGTTCCAAGTGTCTCGAAAATAGTTCTGTTGCACCAAAAATAACAAAGTCATAGTAACGAGGTTTTAAAATTTAGATTTATGTCACCCTTTTCTCTCACCAGGAAGCCAAAGGCCAGGATCTTGAGGATGCACTCGATAGAGAAGAGAACAGTGAACGCTGTGTTCAGGTGCTTCAGGACGGCGTCGTATGCTGGCGGCGCAGAGTAGTACTGGAAATACAAAGGTGGCACGAGTTAAACTTAAAATGATTAAAGATAAATGTGTAATGCTCCCAAATCAGTTTGCAGCAAATCAAGTTCCTCTCAAATATCAATGGGAACCTCAGCCCTGCTGATCTACAGGTTGATGGAAGATTCCTGCAGACCCATAAATAGCACTTCAGTCTCTGTGGCACTAAAAAAGGAGTCATTCCTCCAGGTCCTGCAGCAACAGTTAATGAGGTCATGTGAAATAGCAGCTCCTGGACATTAAAGATCAATATTTAACACAAGCTGAGTCACTCAGCATTTGTCTGTCTGTGCGTGAGGAGAGAAGACCAGAGCAGGAAATAAATACTGATGAGAGAACGATAGAAAAAAAAAAGTCTTCACATCAAAAGTGAAAGTATCACAGGATGTTGATGTGGTACCCGGACACCTAAAAATCTATATTTTTATAAAGTGAAAAATGTCTGATTATTTGAAACGTTACATGAGAATATTTTGAAATATTGAAACCCAACAAATATTAAGTAATCAGAGCTGAGCGACAAAAGAATCAGCAGTTTAGATTTGATTACAATCAAAATGTTTACAAGTGTTTTCTCACCTTCATCATGAGCACAATAGTGTTGAGAGCGATCATGGTGAGGACGGTGTACTCAAATGAGGGCGACACCACAAAATGCCACAGCCGGTACTGGAACGTGTGCCGGTTCTGCGGCATGTAACGAGTCAGGGGCTTTGCACTGATGGCAAAGTCGATGCACGCTCTCTGGAGTCCAAAACAAAGAGCACAAAACAGACAAGTAGAGCGATCAAAACCTGAGAACACAGCACTCTGCTTTATTTTGTTAACTCCAACCTGATTCTTCTGTGGGTTCACAACATTTGTGTGAAGAACATTGCAATTATTTAAGCTTGAGAAGGAAACTCAGAAATACTCATCAGGCAGAAAGCACAATAAGAAAGATTATGAGTGATTAACCTGCACAACGTGCTGGACTCGAACATAAACTGTGACTTCTTGTTGTAGCGTTCACAGTCGAGCTTTTTCGTACTGTTTTTCTATCAGTTGTTGAAATTCTTCCATAGATTTACTAAAAACAATCCGACAACTGAATTCATGGCACAATAAACTGTCTCATATTTGATGTCTTGTGGTGAAATCCTGAAACTTGGAAAACAGAATTTAATCTAGGCACGTGTTTCAATAAAGACAAGATGCTCATTTTGCAGCCCAGACACACACAGTCACTTTATATTACATATGAAGATTAGAAAATACTTCTTGGCTTTTATCAAAAGAGAGCTGTATGACTCTTTAGTACTAAAATACTCTTACCTAAAGCAAACAAACAAACCAACAACCAAAATTAAAACTGTTTTTGTAAAAAACAGAACAAGATATAAAACATCTAATAATGTAATTCTTGCATCCAAACATAGTGAAAGTGAAGGAAGCATCACTTTGTGTTTGTGTACAGGCAGAAAATATGAAGTTTTCATCAACTCTAAGTGAAAACCTTCGATGGACAGATTTTTATTTCAGCAGGACAAGTTAAATTAAAAAATACCTTTAGGTGTAGTTTTAAGAAAACCTTGAAAATAAGGGTGTTGTGAGCCAGTTGGAGTTAACATTTTAAAAAGTGCCACAGACCTTAAATGGCTGAGCACCTATCCTTTTTCAGTCTGAATAAACTGAATAAGTTTTTGGCCAAGAAGATTAAGAGAAACAGCTCAAAGTTTTTTTTAAGGAACAATCCCAAGAAAACTTCATACTGCTACTGGTGCAATAACTAGATGGATAACATGAAAACTTAAGTTAAATGGGACAATTTGATAAATTTTAGAGATGAAAAATTTACCACCCTCTCCAAAAACATAAGGTGTTATGATTAAAGCACTGTGGGAGAAAATCAGTTATTCAAAATATAAAAACAGAGTTTACAGATCATGGTTTGATCATCTTTCCTCACCTCATTCTTCTCCAAGCTGCACTCCTCCATCATTTTATCCCCCTGCTCCTGGAACGTGATGATGATGAGAGCCACAAAGATGTTGACAAAGAAGAAAGGGAACACGACAAAGTAGATGACGTAGAAGATGGACATCTCCATCCTGTTGCCGTGGCTCGGACCTCTGTCCTCCTCTGTCACATCCACAGAGTGTTGCAGCACCCTGACAGAGCAGAGAAACAGCTCAGCATTCAAAAGATTATCTGATACTCAGCAGGAGCTTTGAGGTGATGCAGGGATTGTTAAGAGGTATTTGTGTACCGAGGTGAAGCTCAAATGCTAGGACGAAAGAGAAACTGTTTAAGCCAGAATCCCCAATAACAACTGCTGCCAGTAAAATGTTGGTATTACCTTGCTGGGAGAGTTTATAGAAGGAAAACTGTTGAGTTAATTTTATCTCTCATGTTTTGCTCATCAAAGGTCAGATTTGACCACTAATGAAACAGAAGCCACATCTGAAAAGGTTACAACTAACAACCCTCTTGTAAGAAAAGAAAGGGCATGAGAAAGCACCAGATGAACCATTCTCATCCAGGATGAGGGCACGTCTGACTCCAGTCTAACACTCACTGAGGCCATCCCTCTCCGGTGGAAACAGTGAAGAGCGTGAGCAGAGCCCAGATCACGTTGTCGTAGTGAAACTCGTGTCTTTTCCAGTCTCGTTTTTTCACCTCCTTTTTATCCTTCCCGTAGTCGATGTAGTAACCTCTGAATGACAAGACAGATGAGATCCACCACAAGGGAAACAAAAAATACACATAAGAAAAGAAACAAGTAAACAAGGATTACTGGCAATCTTTCTGTGTGTCCTTTGAGCTGTCGGTGCAGTAGAAGAACTTCCCCTTGAAGAGCTGCACCGCAATGACGGCAAAGATGAACATAAAAAGTTTGTAGACGATTAGGATGTTGAAGACATTCTTTAGAGATGTCACAACACAGTCAAACACCGCCTGGAAGAGAAGGATAAGAAGTGTTAAAAGTAGGGATGCACCGATCCACTTTTTTTACTTCCGATCCCGATACCTAAATCTGAATATCGGCTGATACCGATCCAGTTCCGATATCATGAGCATCATTGATTTTACATGAGGCTGTAATAATCTCCTCTCAAGTACATTTTGTACAAATATATGCATGCATGTCCAAAAAGGCAACTTGAGGTAAGTTTTATTAATTCTGTATAAGATTTAAAGTTAGAATTAAATTCTGCTAACACAAAACTTGTTTATTTTTATTCCTAGCTTTAAAGTGGATATTAAAGTGATTAATTTAAGTGATTGTTCCAAGTTATTTTTTTTTTTTTTAAATAAGGGGCAGATATAAGATTTTTTTTTCTTCCTTCTGCACTCTTTTCATTCAATATTTTCTTTTTGATGATTTTTTTTAATTTTGTTTCTTTTAAATGAATGAATTAAATTAAATAAAATGTTAAATGGCTTCAAACACCTGGCATAAACCAACAGACATGTTCCTGTTTTTAGTATTTTACATCACTTTATAATGTAGCTGTCTTTTGTTTTTAATATATATAATTTTCAAATCATGTTTTTTATGATTGTCTACTGTTGTACTGATAAATATCTCCTGGAGGGTAAACTATATCTTGGATGCAAATATCAAACTGTGAAATCCTTCGTTTTCTAAAACTGATGGGAGTTGGACATTAATCAATCAATCAATCAACCTTTATTTATACAGGTAAATCCCATTGAGCCTCGAGGACTCATTTACAAGAGAGGCCTGATTTCTGAGATCTGATTAATGATGAAGTTTAGCAACTTCTCTGTAAACATTAGAGCTCCGTGGTTTCAGCGATGTCTTCTTCTTGTTCAATCCGAAGCAGGCAGCCTGATTTGGGGTAGCCGCGCTCAGTCTGTCCCTCCTCAGAGACGGGCAGACTGAGCGGGGCAGATTGGACGCGGCTGGCCGAGGTCGAGTCGCCTCTTTCGGATTCAGCGAGAGTAGCGACGCGCTTAAGCCGCGGAGCTCGAATGTCCAACGTAAAACTAACTTTACCGCGGTTTAATGTAGCGCTATGGCTCTGCAGACATTGCACGTTGCCGTCTTGTTTTGTGGCGTTTCTAGTGTAAAATACTTCCACACAGCAGACATGTTTAGATGAAAAGTTGGTTAGCTGTTAGCCACAGTGCTGCTAACTCAGCCCTCACATTGTAGCTGGCTGCAAACTATGAACTGGATTTCCTGAATGTGAGGCGGGTCTTATTACTCTGGATTCATGAGACAAGCCGCTATTCATGAAATCCATTCCATAGTTTGAAGCCAACATGCATCATGGATTGGACATATCGGCATGTGGATCGGAACAATCCAATACGTAAATTATGCTGGTATCGGAGGCCGATACCGATACTGGATCGGATCGGCCCCATCCCTAGTTAAAAGTGTTGAGACTGTTATGATTGCCGCTTTCTGCCTGCCATGCCCACTTCCCCCGCCGCAATCAGCGCTCATGCCCTGCACCTGTTGCCCATTCTATATGTAATGAGCATAATACCTGTCAGATATTATACATAATTTAAACGGATTCTTTCATTTTTCTGGACTGAGTACTATCGTGCATTGAATGATTAAATGTGGACGGAAACGTGTTTTAATTTCTGACTCACCAACAACAGTGGGTCGTTTATTAAAACGATTTAAAACAACATCACACATTTACAATAATTGGCAGATTGATTTCAATAAGACAGCTTAATTAACTTGCTTTACAATTAGAAAACCATACGGCCATGGTTTCCACTTGCAGCTTTTAAACCAACAGACATTTCTGAAAATATCTGGATGATTACTGGCAGATAGAAGAGTTTTAAAGATGGGAAAATGAAGTTTAAATGGAGAGAGATGGGTGAGGGAATTTGTCTGTTATAACCAGAACAACACGCTCCTTTGGACCCAGCTTAACCCACGGTACACTTCGCAGTTGAAGATCGACTTTTACCTTTCTGAAGATATTTCAGTTCCGGCGTAAAGTTCCACTTCAAGCCACTTTTCAGCGTCTCCGTAAGGATAGCAGAGAACCGTCCGGAGTAGTGACGGTACTTTGTTCAACAGCAGCTCACCTCTCGGGTGGGCTCGCATGAGCTGTGAGCCCATCAGAGGTTCCACTCAGATGTGGAAGATTCCATAATCCCCACGAGACTCGGAACTTTGTTCTGCGTTCTGCGTCCCGAACTGCTTGGAACTAGGAAGTGTTGACCCTTTTAAAGAGGTCACTTCCGGCTCCTCATGAGAACTTCCTGATTGGTTGAAAGAACCAATCAGGGGTGTGGTTTTAGTGACGTAAGAGGTCACTAGAAGTCAGAAAAACAATTTAATGTTTAGGAACAGATAGAGAGATGTTTTAAGAACAGACAGAAAGATGTTTTGAAGAAACAGAGACTTTTCGGAGCAAGTTCTCCTTCTATCTATCTGAAAAAGTTAAACATGACATTTCTTTCCAATAAACATGTTTTTGACCGAAACTTGACTTCTGACCGACTTACTCCTTCTCATTTCAGACAGAGAATCAGAAATGCATCATTACTCTTGTAACAGACATTAACTTGATTTCTACTTTGAATGAGGA